GACCAGAACCTGCGTGGCTTTCTGGGTCAGCTGGGGACGTATCTTCCTGATGTTGTAAAGCGTGTATCTGCAGCAACGGGTTGTAGCAGCTATGTTTGCAGTGAAGGACAGGTTGTTATCTAGGGTCACACCCAGATTCCTTGCAGTCTGAGTCGGGGAAACAACAGAGGTGCCGATGTTGATTGTTAGGTCAAGAGTGGGACAATCTTTTCCCGGAAGGAAAAGCAGTTCAGTCTTGATGAGCAGACATCCACTGAGAGATGTCAGCTAGACAAGCAGACAGGGCCGGACTGGGACAATAAGTCAGGCCGGGAATTATACACCCAGCCAGGCCACTACCAGTTTTTTTTTGTGCCATTTTGCTGGATTTATTTGTCAATATTTACAGCGTTGCTGCCCGTAGTGATAGGCCTATAGTTTAAATCTACTACCCAAAAATAAACATATGGAGATGGGTCACTATTTAAAAAAATGTGAAAATCTATTTAGGAACCTATTCATGTGAACATATTTTAAGTGGGGGGTGGACTTCAAATCCTCTAGGGGGGTCCGGGGGCATGCACCCCCGGTAAGATTTGTTTGTTAAATGTTGGACTTAAATGCATCAATCTGGTGCACTTTGAGGGGGAAATAAAGAGACTACACCCATATGAAACAGAACTGTATACATTTAAATAATCATAAAATCATAAGTACATGGCCATAACCAATAAAATACCATATCCAATATGAAAAAACATTGAAACTTGTTTATTTATTTATTTTTGGTTCATTTATAGTTGTGAGTGTGTCTGTGCTCCTGAACCAGCCTCTCCTGTCTCCCTCCTCTCCCCCTGCTCCTCTTTGAGGCAGAAGCAAAGACTAGTTTTAGCTCTCAACAAGTTTATAAAGTTTATCTTACCTTTTTTCACCTAGTTAACATTTTATTTTTATTATTCATGCATATTTCACTAATCTCTCCCCCTTCAAATGGAAATATGTGTTTACATAAATGGTGACCAAACCGTTTGAGACCCACTGAGATAACTTAGACTAAGTTAACTATCTAAACACTCAGAGTAATTTACCTCACCTGAGCTGTAGTTATCAGTCTCTCAGTCTGACAGCAGAGGACTCTCCTCCACCTTGTTGTTGAAACAGCTCCTTATATCCGTTAGCGCAGCTAGCTAGCACCAGATGCTAACAGCAACAATACACGTAACCGGTGCGCGCACTCTCTCTCTCGCTCGCTCGCGCCACACATACACACACCCTCCCGAGCTTGAATGACACAGAGACCAATCGAGGGCATTAGTGTATGATCTGTATGAAAGTGGCCATCTCGGCAGGCCACATCATGTATACAGCCAGTCACCCTCTGTGAGGCAGAGTTAGACCCACATTTGCGCAGCGTTGCGTTCACAATACATACATAAAAAAAAGAATCCTCAGGCCAGCAGGCCACTTAACAGGCCAGGCCATCGGGAAACCTCCCGGTCCTCCCGATGGCCAGTCCGGGCCGCGTCTATCGTTTTTCCAACCCAGTTTAGATTTAACCACGCCCACTTCCGCATTACGCAAGGATCGACGTAGCTTTACGCGATAGCGTCATAGACTTCATCTTCGGCAGTTTAGCGGTTGCGGTAAAGCAGGATATTGAATAATTGGTTTTTGTCTTTCCAAAGGATTTGTTGACTGAAAGTAAACGATCCTGTAATCAAAGCCATATCGAAGAGTCCTGAGATTGTATTACTGGTGTTTTATCATCTATAAATAGCCTGTGTGTATCCTCAAATGTCGTTTTCAGGACAAACAAAAGACGTTTTAAATATATTATCAGAATAGCCTGTGTGTATCCTCAAATGTCGTTTAAAACGTTTTAAATATCTTATCAGCTGGTGTAAGTGCAGAATATTGAATACAGATGTTTGCTAATTGCTCACTTATATCCATCAGGAATTAATATTAAATGATGAATTAACATTCTTCAGCACTGCATAAGTGTGGTCGTCAGTCATATTGACAAAGAAGCACTATTATATTGTATATTATGCGGCGTTTAAAAGGACGGTATTTCGCTTGTCAGATTCAGATTTCGCGGGTGTGCCGCGTGAGGCAGTGATGTAACCATAGGGATGTAACGCCAGGTTGATGCTGTGACGTAACGCCACGTCGATGCTTGCGTAATGCGGAAGTGGGATCTAAACTGGGTTGGAAAAACGATAGACGCGTCCGGGCCAAGCCCCCAGGAAGTGCGCCGGAGTCTGATGAGAATATTCGTGCTGGTCAAACGGCGGTACTACACTTCCTTTAGGTTGCTGGGCCCGGAAACACTTTTTCCCATTGACTTACATGGGGAAAGAGTGGTCTGTAACTCGTTGGATAATTTTTTTTTAACTAAATAAACTACCCAGTATGAACGTTTGTATAGCCCTTATTAAAAACATTCGTTCCTCAAGTTGTAAAAATATGCTAATAACGTTATTTTGAGAGTTATTTCCCTCGGTATTAATAACGCGCATCTAACCCACGGGACCGCGCCGCCCGGCACGTTCATGTTACGTGTTCAGTACTACATGAGTTTCTCTTTACCCATGGATGCACAATAACAACGGACCATATCGCCTTACTGCCAGCCCACGGAGCTGTAATAATGGATATATTGCACGTTTGCTGTAATTCATCATTTGTAAAATATTATACTACATGGGCTGTATGATGTAAATCTTGTACCGTAAATGTTGTATTAAATAAAGTTAATATTACCAACGTAGATTAACGTTCCTGTAGCTTCTTATTACACTTGCAATTGTTTTAGTTACTTGTGGGCTACTTAACATGAATAATCACAGTTACTATCCTTTTACTCCATCACATTTCAAAAAGAAATAGGCTATTGTTATTTTAACTCCACCACAGTAATCCATCATCAGCTTTACTTTTTAGATAAAGTTTTAACTCACAATTGATCATAACAGGCTTCAACATATACATTTGTATATATTACCAAGTGGTTTCATGTACAACCCACACAAGTATCATGCTAAATGAAGCTCTGTTGCTTGGATATCACTAGATCCTGATGTTAGCGTAATATAAAAGTACATAATGATTGATGTGTAACTTAGCATAATTGACTAGCTAGCCGCTAGCTGCTAACTGCCGCCTCGTTAATATAAATCCAGTACCATGCTGTCATGAACGCGCGGTGCTGTTACGTGTACGCAAATTCACGTGCTTAATGTGAACGAGCCTTTTGGGCGGCATGGTTAAAGTTGCGCATGCTCTATGAGCGCACATACGGGTACTTCTCAGGCATGCCGGGTAATCTGTGACGTTTCGCTCTCTCAAAAATTGGGCCATTTTGTCATCATGCGCCATTGAGCAACTCTCATAGGAATGAATGAGGCCCCGCCTCCCACGCTGTATCCAGTTATTATTATACATCCATGGTCCGGGCCTGTAAGCAGAGATGCGTGCGACGACCTGGGTCTCTGAGCGGGGAAAGGACGGAATTAATTGGGTGTCGTCAGCGTAGCAGTGGTATGAAAAACCATGCGGGCTAATGACAGATCCGCATGAGTTTTTCAATTTTAGGATTTTAACATTGTGCTTCTATATTTAGTGTGGGGGAGGCTCTGGAACACCCTCCCCAACCACATCCGCCAACACTCTGGCCCCGTCTCAAGTCGGTTAAATTAAATCCTTGCTTCCCTCACTTGCGTCGTTTCCCTGCCTCTAGTCCCTCCCACAAGGGAAGCATGGAGGGACGCAAGGAAACCACGAGAAACAGGGAAATTAGAGCGTCACGTGAAGCGACGTCCGTTTGTGATGACGCTGCACAGCTGATCGTCTGACAGCAGCTCTGTCCCCGTTATTTCACACACCCCCGCCTCTGTTAGTACACATTTACTGACACAAACATTTGTATCATCTGTTGCAGACCCAAATAAATAAAATAAAATAAGATCAAATTCTCAAAAAAGATAAACGCCATTCTTAAAATGTATAAACGAACAATAGTTGGATTAATATTGATTAGAGTGCACAATAGAAATAAAATAATTGAGAGAAGAAAAAGAGATATGTTATCTATCAAAACCCAGTTAGATTAACATTCATTGGATTGCACACTTTGTTTGTTTGTTTGGATATGCAGCACATTAACATTTTAATAGCACTTAATGACTGACTGAATGGAAATGACAATAAATAAAAATGTTAAACGAAAAAAGCGATCATGAAAATGTTTCCAACAAATGAATAAAATGATTTTTGACCACTTTGTTGTTTAGATATATCACATATTTGTAACTAAATGATACATGAATTGAAACAAAACACAGTATAAACTGAGGAGTGACTCCCGTGAGGTTCATGTATTTTCTTCACTCTGCTCTCATGTCAAGAAGCATGAGATCAGTGCATGCACTGCATCGTCCAATCAGTGAGCGATACACAGTAAGGGGGCGGGGCGAGTATCTGAGGATTTCATCGGAGGATGGTCTGGTGGTTCCTCGGTTATTGCTCCTCCATTATCGCTCCTCGCTCCTCGATCCTCGGTCCTCCTGCAGAAATAAGAGCCATGGGACGGTACTCAAGATGGCGCAGACAAATCAACTTCCGGTGAGACCGAGGACCGAGGAGCGAGGAAATGAAAATAGTCGACCTGAGACAGGGCCTCTCTCACATCATTCAAACAATCCCTCAAAACTCACCTTTTCACTCTTGCCTTCAACTCCTAATTAACTAACCCCTTGCCCTTATTCCTTCAAAAATATAATTTATATCTCAAATACAAAGTCATCCTTCGTGACCATAGGTCAACATTAAAGATGTGTGGAGTTTTATTTTAGTTATTAATTTACATTTTTTGTCTTAGAGATGCTGATCTGAAACCGTTGTTACATACAGTTACGGCATTTCCTGTTTCTGCCGGAGAGAGGGGAGTTTGTCCCAAAGCTTGCCGCTGTATTTACTCCCTCCATCTGACAGGAGGAGTGTGTAGGGGTAGGGTGTGGTTTGGGATTGGGGCCGATGTTTAGTTTGGTCCTGCCTCCGTCCCTATAGTGACGCGTCACTGAGCAAGGGGGCGGAGCAGAGTTGGCTACAGGCAAGATGGCGGCGACCATGAGCAACGTGGAAGAAATACGGACTCGAGCTGTACTGGGGGAATTCGGTGTGAAAAATGTAAGTTCGGTTTGAACAAAGTTGTTATGGCAGCAGAGCTTGGTGTGTGCAGGGTGAGAGTCTGAGAGAGAGCCGGTCTGATATACCACACAGCCTCCCTCATTCACCTGTACACACCGGTATATATGTACACACAGATTACACACACACAGAGACACACGCACTAGTGGTACCTGTACTTTACTTGAGGATTTTAACATTGTGCTACTTTGTACTTTTACTCCACTACATCTATTTTACATATTTAGTTACTAGTTACTTTGCAAAATGTACCCTAACCCATGTTATATTAATATTTATGTATTTATTTGAACAAGGACGATGCATATGCATTATGCATTATGCATGGTAATGCTCAGGAAAGAGAAGAGATGATTTATGCCAGATTTGAGCTCATTTCAATCTGCAGGTACATAACAATCAACAAACACTAAAACATTGCATCATCTCTATCGCACGAACAATAATACAACAAGATTAAAGTACAGGTCAATAAAATAGTACAGTTCAAATATAATATTAAAATGGAAAAACTCAGATGATAGTATAATGACTGGTTGCTTAATATCCATTTATTTGCACCATGAGGGAAAGAGTGAAAGTCAGGGCAGGTTTGAAAGCTCAGCTGAAGAATGTTTGATGGCCTCGAACTCTTGAAAGCAGAACAACATTTTTTTTAAATTAGGAGTTTGTATTTGGACCGTATAATTATTAAGTAATTATGAAATAAGTATTATTATAGGTTAAGCTAAACAGTAGTGTATAACGTAATTAAAATAAACCCTGCCTTGAAAAGTGCATTGAACACAGTGATGAATATGCACCAATAATGAAAACAATTATTTATAATAATAATAATCAAAAAATGTCTTGTTTTTTTTAATAAGTAAGACGTGCTTTTACCTTTCGTACTTAAACTATAGTGTAGCGACCCTGTATAGGGTGCTGAGTGTGTCACTCAAGCATCCCCGCCTCTCTGCCAATCACAGAGCTGCACAGTGATGCTGGTCGGGGTGCGGGCCTGTGGTTGGGGGAGCAGAGGGTGGGGAAGTTGTGATGTTGACCCTGCTTTGTGTGTGTGAGTAAAGGCCCTCACACACCAAGCAGTCACCAGAGAACTCGCCGACGCCGCCGTGTTCTCCTGCGTCTTGGCCATGTGTCGCACTGGAACACACCGCAAAGACTTCAGCCGAGCACGTACAAACTGCGCATGCGTGAGTGGCAATAACTCTCCTTACCAGCAGGCGGCGGTAGTGTGTATTCGTCATTCAAAAGAGGCAACAACCGGAAGACAGAGAAGAAGAACAGACTGCGTGATCTAAACAAACAACAAATGCGTTCCATTTTCACTCTCGTCCATCGAAAACATGTTTTGTGCGGTACTGGAGCTATCAGCCATTGGAGTGTTGCTTGTGGAAGACATTCTCAAGCAACCGTTTCGCTTCTCATGCACTGATTCGCTAGCTGAACAGCCAATCAGGGATTTCTTTGTCCGACTGCATGGCCAAATAAGGCGTGTCACGGCCGACGGTGCGGGACACACCAAATTGAGTTAATAATAATAAGTAATAAGTCAATAATCTGAGTTCTTCTTCCAGCTCTGGTTCCATGTATATGGCCCAGTCTTAGGCAGAGAGCATGCTCACACCTGAGAGGGCTGCCATCCGCACAGAAGTCTGTCAGGCACACTTCAGAACCTCCACAAACATGCAAATACTTTAAATCTGTTAAACTGGCTTTAAAAACATCCTCAACAATCCAACAATAAATAAAGTAGTTGGATTTTCTGAATGAATCCCTCAGCTGATATGAGCAGATCAGCCCATATCCTCCACTCGCATGCTCGCAAACACATTCTATCTGATTCTAACTTCCCAAGCTGTTCCTCGAACTGCTCCTGTTCAACGATTTAAAGCATTGAATGATTCAGTTAACTCTACATTACAACTTAATGATTGATGTCCAAAACTGTCAGTGAAACATTTAATTAGAGGAAGAAATTACTAGACAGTTGGTTAGTTTTTAAAAGTGTAAAAAACATCATCCATGAACAAACTACACTGTCATTTAAGGGTTCCTCTACGGGCCCTTGGTGAGCCGCAGGACCTGCTGTGGCCTCTGGCTTGTGAATATTAAAGCAGAGCGTAAATATCTTGTAGTTGAAGTAACTTTAATAAGATCTGAATGGTTGCTTCTTTCTATCTCTTATTGATTGTTTCTGCTTTAGGTCCATTCGTCAGATTTCCCTGGCAACTACCCTGGCTATGATGACACTTGGAATATGCAGACATTTCAAAAGGTATGTCTGTCAGTTTGGATCTATTGGCGCGTTTCCACTGCAGGCCTCGCTCGGTTTGGTTAGGCCTTATTAGGCCCGGCTCACTTTAATGCTGCGTTTCCATTACAGTTTAGGAACTGGGGCAGTTACTATAGTAACGCAGTGTAGGTGGAGCCGTGACGTCATCTTCAATGAGAGCCCCAGAAAAACAACACAGCCGTTAGCTCTTAGCACTCAGAGCTCACAGCTCTTCATATCTGTTCAGAAACTAGACAAAAGTTAAACAAGTACAAACCACAGACTGCCTGTGTCATGGCGAATACAGTCGCTGCTTTATTTATGTCTGTATAGGCCGTTGTTGTGAGTGTGGACGGTCGGAGCATATATAACGTTAGCTTAGCCAAGCTACATTTAGAAAACACACATTTTAAAAAGGTTTTTCGCCTGCCGTCTGTCTGCAGACTTGTCAAAGCATTAATTCATGGTTTTTACTAATCAGTATCAGTATGTTGTTACTTCTGCATCATTTTGAAACATGTATTACAATTAAATCACGGTCAAATATGTTCATCTTGTTGTAGTTGTAGCCCCCTTGCCAGCGATTCTCTCTCTAGTTTAGCATACTCAGCCTGGTTGTTCCTGGCCCTAGAACCACGATTTTACTGGTGAACTTATTTATCCTCTTAGAGAATGAGCAGGACTGACACACACACACACACACAATACTTTTATTTGGTGTGAAGCAGTTGTGGGTAATAAGCACTTTTTATTTTACGTGCATGGTTAACTTTATGGAAAAGCTTTACAATTTGTATATCTAACTTGGGTGTCACTTTGTTTGAATTTTTTTTGTACACACTAATTTCCTTACTAATACCTGTATAGACAGGATTCACAATGTCACTGTCAGGCTACACACTATTTTCGTAGAAACCATAATATGTGTGTGTGTTGGGCATCTTTTTTTTTAAAGTCTTGAACGCACATTCACATGTTTGCACACCGGACCCCTGCAGGGGGGTCTGAGGGGGTTCCATCCCCAGAAGATTCCCTTTTTATGTTTTAACATAAAAACTACGCATTATTGTACTCTCTAAAAATAAAGAAAAAGACAACATTTACCCTCGCAGGAGCAATTCCATTTTATTTGTATCGTTTATGCTGGATTTGAAAAGTGTTCCCTGGGACTAATGTTTGATGCTGAGATGTGTTCTCCTGTCCTGTTGCAGAACTTCAGGATTGACATAGTGAATCTGGAGGAGAACAGCATGGAGTTTGATATGGTGGGGATAGATGCAGCCATCGCCAACGCCTTCAGAAGGATCTTGTTGGCAGAGGTAGGATTTCATTCAGTCATCTCATTTCCATACAACTACATACTTATGACAAACAAGGGTTTTTTAGACGTTTTACACAGTTCAGTGTTTCCCCTATATACAGGTACCAAAAAGGTTTGTTTTGTTATTAAAATAATAATAAGTGGTGACCCTTTTTCAGGGTTCGTACGGGTGCTGGAAATCCTTGAGAATGCTTGAAGTTTTATGAGGTTCTTTCAAGGTTTGAAAAGTGCTTGAATTTTGGGAATGGTGCTTGAATTTGGGATAAAGTGCTTGGAATTGTAAATGCTTTACTTCGCTTTTTAGATTAAAAGAAAATGAAGAAGTCTGAGCGCACTTAATTGCTTCACTTTTACATAAAACAGCTCTGCTGCGGCCTTCCTGCGCTATGCGCGTGACCTGCAAGTGATTTGTGTTACGTGTGACCTGGGCATTCTGATGAGAGTGATATATGACAGTGTGCCAGGAGGTTGCAGTTTCAACAAGTGTTGGCTAGCAGAAGACAAATACAAGCCATGGCTAAGACGAGGGTCAAGCCCACGAGTCAATCCTGCAAAGTTTGCAACAAATAATTTCAGTTGTTCACGATGGGAGAGTCTGCGCTGACGAGCCACATGAAAGGTACGCCGTAGTAGAGCATTTTAGATTAGGCTAACGTTGCATGTTACATTTGTTTAACCTAACGTTAGCGAGCTGAATAGCGAACTCGATGAGGGATAATAATAATTGCAGGGGACAATCATTTCAGAGGAGCGTACCTATGTTAATATATGCGTTACAGTCGCCATCCTGTGGTGTTCAGAGGATGAAGCACTCACTGTTGTAATTCAACCCAGTCTCACGGTATTTCGTGTTATAGTCACGAAATATAATCTATTGATTCGACACAGAACGATTTTAAAAGCAATGTATTTCTACTGGTAGTATGTTTCGTAGTGCTGGGGGGAAACGATTATTTTGAAAACGATTAATCGGGCGATTATTTGATCGATTAGTCGACTAATCTAACGATTATTTTTCTGTTGTTCAATTCATAAAAAACGTAATGTAAAAAAAATTTTTTTCACGATACTGTGTCTCAGGGGATCTTAATATTTAAGAACCTATTAATGTGTTATACCAGATTAACGGAAATAATCTCAGCTAACTGACGATACAAACCATGTTTACCAAAACAAAACACAAGTCTCATAAGAAGCATCTAAATGACCCCTGAGCGAAAAATGCTAACGGACATTGGCACAGAACTCAAGATAAAAGTACCCTTATTACTTATCGTAGCTGCACATACAATATATCCGATTAAAGCTGAGACTCCACAGATTATGTAGGTATATAGTATCATCACTGAGTGATCCGGACTCGCGACAGGGGAAGCAAATACAGTCATCACAACACGTACCTTCACAGAGCTTCTAGGGAGATCGTCTCACCACCGTAGCTGTCAATCTGATCAAAATACGTGTTCAATGGCATTAAAATGAGAAAAAACGCGGCTGAATCGGTTAATCCATAGGTTTTTAACGTCTATGTATAAAAAAATGATTGAATTTATAATCCATAATTCCATTTTATGTAAAAAATCGGAGAGCAAATGCTAGCTGCTAATGGTAGCGACCACAGCTAGCTGCTGCTTCTGCTAGGCTATGCAGCAGTCTCAGTGAGATATAAATATCTTTGCGTTTTGGACTAACTTTAAAATATTCCCATGCTTTTGAAAACCTAGGGCGAGATGTTTTCGTTTGGGGGCTTCGTGCGCAATCCTGTGAGGAGGAGGTGGTAGCCGTTTCAGTCTCTATTGTGTTTGAAGTGCGATTGCGAACTGCTTGTTGCTTTGGGTGACCCACGTGTGTGTAGCGACGCGTCGACGCGGAAATATGTCGTCGACGATATTTTGAAGTCGTCGACGCGTCGCTACAGCACTAATGTTTCGTGCCTAAACCAAATGTGACTTGCTCTATCGAAATCAGTCACATTGACCCGAAGACACATTTTCGTTTGTATTACTGGTCTGGGGGAAGCTCGAGAGGGTGTGTGTGTTTGTTTCCCGGGGAAACACTCACAAGAAACACCGGCTGTTGTTATGCCTACAGTGACGTTAAGTTACTCCGTTCTCCGCTTGTAATTATGCCGTACAAGCTTCAAAGTTGTATTTCTCATCTGAATTTGACGAAACAAGTTTAATATTCTGAAAGCCAATACTTTGTTTATTTGAAACCAAACTGTCCCGGACCCTGTTGTGTTATCTATGATTACTATACGCCTTTACTTCATAATTTCAGCCGGAGGGAGGGGGAGCGGCGCTGCGGAAGAGCAGGGTGTGAATTGAGAGGTGCCTCTCCTTCCCTTTACAAGCTTCAAAAATGTATTTATCGTGAGATTTTGGCAATAACAGTTTCATGTTCTGAAAGCCAAGACTTTGTTTATTTAAAATCAAACAAAACACCCGAACTCTGAAAAACTAGTTTTTTTACACAAATCCACGTTTATTTATTTTTTAAATGAGCCGTTGCGACTTTTGACTGACTTTGATAGAGTGGGTCACAAATAATAACAAATTTAGAAGGAAAACAATATATACAGATTTCAGTATTCTGAGGCACTGAGCCCCATTTCTTTTCCTCACAGACGGCAAAAAAAAGCCAGACATTATACGATTTAAAATAAAAACAATAATCTTGACTTGATATTGAGTAAGAACCATAGACTGTATATATAAAGGTAAGAACTAGGGCCAGGACCCGATTAAAAAAATTAATCTAATTAATTAGAGGCTTTGTAATTAATTAATCGAAATTAATCGCATTTTTAATCACATATAAATATTTGACCTAAGAACAGTGAGAAGCAATTTTTTTCACATGGATTTTAGTATACCATTAGGCGCATTCACACCGCAGTACTTTTCCCACAAAGGTTCATGAGAATTGAGTTCATGAGAACTCTTTGAACCTGGGGGTGCATTAGGCAAATGAAGCCGCTGACGTCACTTCTTCTTCTTCTGCTTTGGGTTTACTGGCAGGCCGCAAACCACTTCACGGCGTATACTGCCGCCCAAAGTCCCCGGCCGGAAGTCCCCGGAGTTGGGGACTGGCTTCAGTAGAAGCTGCTGGGAGTCCCAGCAGCTTCTACTGAAGCCTTCCGAGTAAATCGCCAGAACGCCGACACCTCCTCATCTCCACCGCTCCCATGTTTTATTTTGTGTTGCCATAAGTTAGTCTCTCTGCGTTTCTGCGCTGGGCTAATGCTAATAATGCTAATGCGAGGATAATAAAATGGCGGCTTCACAACACTTTTTGGGAGTTTTACGGGGCGTGGTTTGCAATCCTCCCAGCCAATCAGAAATATAGCTCTTTTCTCACAAGAGAGCCGCACGAAAGTCCCTGCTCTCTAGCAGCTCTCTGCTCTCTAGCAGGGACTTTCGTGGGGGTAAAAAGGTTCTCATGAACTAATTTTAGTACCGGCTCTTTTTGGTGTGAACGCGATAAAAGAGGCTAACGTCCACGCTAGCTTCCACGCTAGCTGCTATATGTTTTGCATTGAGGTGATACTTGAGGCTTGATGTGCTGCGGTGATATGCGAATTCCTTTTTGCATAATTTGCACACAACCGTGCTCTTCCATCCGTCCGTTTTTTTAAAACAACATTTCCCACTGTTGTTCACTGTGGTTTGTTGTTGTCTGAAGTCATGAACGTTAGTTGGTGCTCCAGTATAATCGGTACGCCTGAAACTCATCCAGTGAGAAACGTTCCGCGGTGCAAAAATAAGTGCGATTAAAATGCGTTAATTTTTTTAACGCGTTAATTTTTGTGTTATTAATTCATCTTAATTAATGCGTTAAAGTCCCGGCCCTAGTAAGAACATGTTTTTATGAACCACACAGCTTCCGGTCTTCCAAGACCCGACCGGACAAAAAGACGTGCTGCAGGCACGAAACATACTACCAATAGAAATACATTGCTTTTAAAATCGCTGTGTGACACGAAAAAAATGGGAAAATCGTGTTGATGAACACGATTCAATAGATTACATTTATTTCATGACTATAACACGAAATGCCGTGAGACTTGGTTTCTGTGTGATTTTGTGGCTACATTTCAGGCTAATACGCTACCAGAGGTGGAATAAGTACTCAGATCTTGTACTTGAGTAAAAGTAGAAGTACCAGAGTGTAGGAATACTCTGTTACAAGAATCAATCAAAAATGTTCCTCAAGTAAAAGTAGTAGTTTATTCTTCACTGTCTGGTCACTCATTACTGGATCAGCGAGATGCATGAGATACAGACGGGCTGTCAGGAGAGAGAGAGAGAGAGAGAGAGAGGGAGAGGGAGAGAGGAAAAGAGAGGCTCCGTTTATTTCTCCCGTGTTATTATCCAAAGTTAATGTAAACTTTTTAATAATGTACCTACTATAAGTAGTTTGTTTGAATGTAATAATGATGTTGTTTGTGGAAGCGCATCATTTATTGAAAAATGAATCTGAACTTTTCAATCTGTTACGATTATAAACTGAAGCAATTTAAAAATCAGCCCCATTAACTTAGTTTTAAACATCAGGTGATCACCTGCTGACAGAAACTCTGCTACACAATTCTTATTATTATTATTGAAACATGACCTGTAAGTTCCAAATGTATTCGGTAAAATAAATTATTTCTGGACACTTGACCGGCAAGAAAAAATCCTAGCAGAAACCCTGGATGGAAGGTCGTTTCTCTTTACTGAGTTGAGTGGTTCTTGCCATAATATGGATTACAACAGTAGTCAAATAGGGCTTTCCACTGTGCACTAACCCTACCTCTGCACAACACAACTGATGGCCTCAAACACATTAACCTGTTAAGCCCCATAGCCCTCGCCCGCGGGGGCTACGTGCTTTTTTAATTTTTTCACAAAACTGTGTCTCAGGGCTTCTTAACACTTAACCTATTAATGTGTCATACCCACTTAACGGGAAGAAACTCAGCTAACTGACGATATGAACCATTTTTACCAAAAT